GGGTGAAAAATTGCAAAATTTTTATAATTTTTATACAAAGTTTAAAAACTGAATTTATATGGTGTCCTGATTAGCAAACAAATTCCTTAAAAAACTCCGAAAAATTACCAAGCGCGTTAAATTTTATTATAAATGCCTAAAGACGGTGTCACACGATTGGTACTTTTATACAGATTTGTAGATTTTTTATATTGGTCTATTGGCACAAAATAAGAAAATTGGTACAATACTGCGAGCTTCTGGAAAAATTACAACAAATGGTTTTTCGTGATTGGGATAAAGAAAAATATTTGTGCATTCACATGATTGGGATAAAATTTGCAAATGCCCAATCGTGTGACACTGCCTTAAGAAATGACAAAAAAAAAACAATTATTAAGCGGTAATCTATAAATATAATTTATAATAAAAATAAATGGACTTTTTAAGAGGACTTAAGAGAGTTTTCGTGATTTTTCTTGGGTACTTCGTGTTTTGATTTTTTTGGAATTTTTGGAAATTTTGTTGTTTTTTTGGGACTTTTCTAAATTTATTTGGAATTGTTCGCTATTCCCTAGTTTTCGTCCAATTTTGAGAGTTTTTAAATAGAGCCTTTCAGGCATTTATAATGAAATTTCTTGTGAGTTTCTCAAAGTTTTCAAGATTTCCAGGGGCTTTTTTGAACTAGTTTTGTATTGTTCTTGGAGCCGTATAGTGGGAAATATTAGAAAAAATCCATCCGCGGCGCTAGAAAAAAAATAAAAGATATTCGAAGAAAAAAGATTTTTTCCGATATTTGCCGTGTTTTGATTTACTGGATTTTCCGAAAGCTTTTGATTTTTTTTTGTGAGACTTCAAAACTTTTTTGGTATTAACTACACTCATGCTTTGGAACTTTTTGAGAGTTTTCGGTATTTTTTGGGATTTGTTTCTGGACTTTTCGGGCACGTCCAAAATTTTTGGGATTTTTATAGGATTTCTTAAAACAAAACTAAAGCGTAAATAGTGCCTAAAATATTTTTCTGCCTGTATTTTAGTTTATAAATTTTTGAATTATCAAAACCATTCTACTTGGTGCATCGCTAATCCTTACCTGACTCATACCCTACTGCGACAGTCAGTGTCAATCACGGACCTTTATTTCAAACGAAAATAACCATTACCTAAATGTAATGAAAACATTAAATTACAGAAACAAAACTTTACAAAAAATTAATTCTCATTCTTAAAACGCAAAACTAAACTTAATATTTTTCACCTGCTATATTTATGACCGCTGTCTATTAAAATTCTAACAGTAGATTTTATAACTATGAAAAACTTTATACTTTATATTCCCGAAGGCAAGAAGATAATTTTCTAAACAGAAACCGCAATAAACTCTTTCGCTTCGTTTCGAGTAAGGTCTCAACTCAGAAACGCATCACTCATTTGGTATAACTATGCTAATATGTACGTAATAAAATACCTGCACTAACTCGCCTACGCAATCCTCCAACTCCTCACCCCCCCAACTTGACCCCAGACTCCCCCCCACCACTACAACTCCTAAAACGACTACAATTCCCAAGCATTTTCATTGCAGGTCTGCGGCATACAAATATGTAATACCCAAATGAGCGAGAAAATAATGTGGAAATTAATCTTTTGGGCAACACTTAGCCAACTTGTTGTTTGCCATGAAAAACTAACAACTGAAAAATAGTTGCAAATAACTTACTTGCTTACTTACATGCCGGCAAACGCTCCCAGCGATAGCTTGCTTCACCGCACTTAACCCGAGACACAACTACATACATAAGTAACATGACTGCCACAAATTGGGCTGAAAGGTAGGATTTTCGTCGGATGGCTTAAATAATTCACCCAATGTTTGCTTTCGCACACAATACATTGCAGTTGAATTTTTGGTGTAGTTAAAATTGCATTTTTTATTTCCGAAATTGTTTACAACACAAAAGAAGCTTTGGCAGCAGCCAGTGTTGTGGAGAAATAAGATTTGCTTTAAAGCAACATTGTATTTATACCAGCTATTACCGGCAATTTGTTAAGCGCCAAAGTAGAAGTGTGTGGCAGTCAGGAAGACGAAGAAGAAGAAGAAGAAGAAGGAGAATGCACTTAGCAAGCAGAGTGCGCATTTATTGACTTGGCTTTCGAAAATTTTGTGTGAGTGCCTGCCTGCAAGCATTCTGTTAGCCCTACTTCATTTTCCACAATTTTTTCTATGATAGTACCTATGTGGTATGTATTTCAATGGCTATGATGTTCCTACCTCCGTCCCTAACATTTTTTGTGAAGTGCATATTTTTGTGCTTTTCAACTCACCTTTGTGCAAAGAAGTTTGTGCAGGAAACGCAGTTCTAGAGGAATTTCACTGTTTACGAATGCGTCTGTGTACTATTTCTGCCCGTCCTTTGGTGCAAAAGAAAACGCGTATTTAGATTACTTTCAGCTTGATGGCATATGCTGTATGTCGCTGCTCCTCCTCCGTTTGCTAGTTGGCTGCGTTTTGCCGTTCAATGTGTTTGCTTGCTCTAAAAGCGCACTCTTTTGTTGAATTTCTTCACCTTTGTTGCTGCTGTTTCATATATGGAATTTTTATTTTGTGCTTTCTTTTAGCTATTCATATTCTCCTCTGTGAGTTTATTTGCTTGTTACTGCGCAGCCTTTCTTCGTAACGTTTCGTTTGTGATGGCTGTTTCCTGAGTTTTTGCTGTCGCTGCAAGGATATGAGGGATTAAAGGTATGCGAAAATTGTAGTATTGCAATTTGTTTTGGTTTGAAGCAGCTGTTTTTTTTTTGTGTTTTTGTGTCTATTCTTCAAAGATGATCTGCAATGAAAAGAAAAAAAATAAAATAAAAAGAGAGTGAGCTAAGATTTTATAGACGAGATAAACACACATTCTAAGAGTTGGATTACCTTACTAACTAGAGCTGAGATAAAACCACAAAACTAAAATGGTAAGCCAATGGGTTTTTGAATTTCCCGCGTCTTATGCTGCCTTTAAGGCAATACTCCGCTCTCAAATACCAACTGCTTATAAAAAACAACTCTGTACTGAATGTATCTCCATACCATGCGTACTAGTGTTGCCAAATGTTCCGTATTTGCTGGGACGTCCCGTATTTTGCATTAAATTTGAAATGTTCCGCTGGGACAAGAACAAAACTGACTTTTATATGGAAGAAAATTGCCAACACCCTCTACAACAAAAAATCTAAAAGATCAATAGTAATTTTTAAAGACTTGAAACTTGCGCTTTATTGTATTGAAATTGAAGGGGCTATAAACTAAAAATCTTTCTATGAAATCTAATTAAAAATATCGAAGTTTTGACTAAATTTTTTTTAAGCTTAATTAATTTGCCTGTAATCTGATATAGATCCACCCATATTTTAAATGAAAATTATTAACAATGAATAAACAAAGATAAGTTGCCAAGAGCATAATTTGAAATTTCGCTGCTATTATTTTGACCGAAACTGTATCTCTTACTTTGTTTTATGGTTTTTTTTTTTAATTTTATGTTTACGTACATACATATTTTTGTATAAATTAAAAAGTTTAGCCATGAAGTGAACGAAATTTATCATAAGCTTATAACTAATCTGAGCATTACTTCGTTGAAATGGATCACCTTTGTTCGTAGTTGGGCTTTTGAAGCAAATCCTTTATTTCTCATTTGTGCCGGTAAATTTTTGTAAATGCCGCATTTTTGCGACAAATTATGTATGGCTGTAAAAAAAAAAATCTGGCAACACTAATGCGTATCCGTATGCGTGCGTTTGACAGAAAAATTGAATATACAAATTTGTATGGCAGCACCTACATAGCAATGCATGAAAATGTAAGAAAATTTTATGAATTTTGATTTCTAAGCGTAAATGTCAAACGCACGCAGACGGATACGCATGCTATGGAGGTGCGCCTTTATTTCTTAATTTGATGGTAGCTATGTATGTACCTCAAAGGTAAGGAATAAGCGACTTTTATGTATTTTAAAATTGATCACATTTGACGTATGTAAGTAGGTATGGAAGTACAAAAAAAAATATCGGATAGGCCACTTCTGTTCTCATGGCCCCATATCTTTACATACAAACATGTAATAAAATTGCAACAGGCCGATGTCTTTACATTATAGATATTAAAGAAAAATTAATATGAAATTATTAGAGCAACAAAAGCCAAATCAACAATTTTTAGAATTTTTGTCTGTCTGTTTGTCAGTTTGTTTGTACGCGCATCGCTCAAAAACTAATGTTTTTAAAGCTAACGAAGGCTTGCAGCTGAAAATATTTTTGCTGAAGGTTGCCACCTGTTTGAAAATTTTAATTTAATTTAATGGATGAGATAAATTATATATTGCATTATGGGTAACAAACTGAAGAGGTTGAGAAAAGCTTACTGTCGAAAATATTTTTCTGGGGCGTTGCCACCTGTTTGATTTTTTTTTTTTAAATTAAATTGGTAGAATAAACGAAATATTACAATACGCGTATCAAATAGTACAAAAATACTTTTAAGGCGCAGTGAAGCACGCCAGGTATTTGCTAGTAAGTAAATAAAATATGACCTCTTTTGAGGTTCGTCATCTTAAGAAAGCAAAAATTGCCGCTGACAGTATTCTTATTCTTCATTAATTTTTTCATGACATTGCAAGCCACAGCACTTCTTAGTCCTTTCATGTGTTTCTCATTTCAGTAAAAGGTCTTAAATATATTTCCATAAAAGCGACAAGAAATCGGTTGTTTTAATCTCAACACTCAACTTCAACTCAGCAAACCAGAGGTAATCTGATCAAGTTTCAATTTACTTCTTTATTTTATTTTGCCATCAGCTCAGTAAATTTATCCGCCCCATGCAGCCTTCACTTTCCGACATCGCTAATTTTTGTTTAAACATTTTGTAATCTTTTTGTTTTTATTTTGAACATATTTCGCATTGTTTAATATTGCCAGCATTGCACTGGAAACAAGTTTGCAACACGATACCAATTTTGTTGCCATAAAGTTCACTACGCTGCCCAGTAGCTTCATTAATTCTCATATTTTGATGAGCGCATTTTTTTACACTTGATTGCATTTTTGCGGCTCAACCGAGAAAACAAATTGAATGTTTAAAAGCGAAACACACACGCACATAAATCGCATAGTTTTCTTTTATTTCATTTATTGAAATTTGCATGTTTTCATGCATACCGTTCGTTTGCTGGAAGAATATCATAAACCAAAAAAAAATTATATTTTCAGTTATGTATGACAAAATGGCGGCCAACACTTCTTGCATATTGTATTAAAATTTTGAAGCGATATCTGTCAACTGTGTCGCATAGATAGGACTTTCTTGCAACTTTCCTCTTTCTCACTTTATATACTTTGTAACTTTGGCCAGAACACTGTCACTTTTGACCAAAGTAAGCGAGGTAAATTAAAGCATCTATCTTCTGGAATTAATTTTATTGATTTACTTTTATATTTTTAGTTGATGAGGGAGAATCGATTTTTAGCCATTCTGTTTGCATTTACCACTTTTTGATATATGACATTTTTTCAGCAAACAGACGATACGATTCACTTTTCATTTGTATGTGTGTAAGATTGGTTGGTTCGAAACCTGCAACTGATTGCTCGCATGCATCTGAAATAATTCTGACTTACATGCACATTTTCGTCTGCTTGCTCTCGGAGTACTTGCAGCGTTGATTGCAAATTTTTATTGTATTTTATTTATTTTGTTGGTGCAACTTGTTCAATTGATAGTTGCAACTTTTTACAGGCATCAAATATGAATAGTACCAGCCGAATTTTTTTGCAACTATCAGTTGAACAAGTTGCAACAACAAAATAAATAAAATACAATACAAATTTGCAATCGACGCTGAAAGTACAGTAAATATACATATACATACATACTACGGTGTTCCTTAAATAATCAACATCATGGGCATCCCTTTTTGGGGGTCGTTACCGGAGTTGAGATACAAATGGTTTTTTTTTTTTATCGCATAAAATTTAAAAAAGGTTTTATTTTGACCAAGCTATAACTCAGCGAGTTTATGAATTTAAATTAATAGATTTTATTAATATATCAAATTGATCAGATGGCAACGAATTTTAGCAATTTTTTATTTAATTTTTGGAATTTTCATGGATGTACGTAGAACAAAATCAAAGGGTGCCCGCACAAAATTTAGATATTGATATTTTAAGACCAACCTAATACATACACCTTAGGCTGTATTACGAAAAAGTTCCAGTTTTATTACTATATTTTAAGACTTCCGTCAAAATATTTTGGAAAAACATTAATATTTTCATGGGCTAGACCGTTTTGAAAATACCTCCGAAAATGTCATTATTTTGATTCCGTTAATAAAATGTTCAAACTATTTTATGCAGACCTATCATCTGAGGTGATTTTTTAGAAAAAATATTTTTAAAAACTAATTTGATTTATAAAAGCCTGATTTTGGAAACATTTTCAAATAGAACCAGCTCATGTAAATATTGATACTTTTTTGGCAAAAGTCTTAAAATATAATACATTTTTTTCTTTCCGATGAAAAAACCGCACCGATTTATTTTTTTTTTGTACGGAGAGTGTTGCACCCTAATACACAAACATACATATATGGCCATGCAACTTTTGTTTCATAGAACTCCTTTAAAAAATATTTCAGTTTTCCAACTCTTTTTCTTTGCGTTTCAAAGCAATTTTAACTGTTCCGTTTAAATTAAATTAACCTTTTCAACGGGCTGCTGTAATTGGTATTAGTGGGGAACTGTGCACCACTCCCACATAAGCATTGAACGTAATGCTGAAAGAAATACCGGTCGACGTTGCAGGCAAAGCTTCCGCGGCGCCAACAGCTACTCAGGGAGACCGATTGGTTGACCCACTTACGGACTGGAACTCTGGAGTTCTAGGGGGGCTTGGAGTTCCTGGGGGGCTTGGATTTCGTCCCTGATTACTGCGCCATCGAAATGGCTCCTAGGAGCTTCTTCTCTGCCCACTTTCTCTCAAGGGATGATTGGGACGGGCGGAACCTCTGGAGAGGGGGAACGGGAGATTTTTTCACAGATGGATCGAAACTGGACGGCAGGGTTTGTGGCGGGATCTTCTTTCGAGAGCTTTCCATCAACACAAAGTTCACGCTCCCGAACTTCTGCAGTGTATTCTAGGCGGAAGTGGCTGCTATCAAGGAGGCCGTGGATTCACTACTCCGAAGTGTCATGCCAGTCAGGGAGGTAAGCATTTATTCTGATAGCCAAGCGGCTATCCGGGCCTTGAGTACGTTGGAGGTGTGCTCTAACCTGATTAAGGAATGTTTGCTCTCTGTTTCGGTCGCGTCGGAATACTATGAAATGCCATCGCCAGATAAAGAGCGGCTGGGGTGCCATCGATCACGTGTGGTACACTCTGGGATAAATTGGCCTCATGCCACCTTAGCGAGCGCTGGACAAAAACTAGGACATGTGCGATCGCAAGGTTTTTCTGGTGGACAGAGGCGGTAAAGGGCGCACTCATCACACTCACAAAGCCACAGCTTTCACTTTTGGTGCGAGTTTTGACGAATCAATGTCCAATTGGTATTCACGCAGTAAGCGTTTTTTTTATAGAGTGACGGTATTCTCAATCTCATGAACGCATTGTACATTTCATTTTTATTAATTGCATAGAAGAAGAGAAAGTGATCTCTTATATTTTTTTACTACTTCGTCGTATTTAGCCTACAGTTTAAATCAGGAGTATTACGACTGTGTTAAGCCCTGGACGATAGAGAAGTAGTCTGACCATTCAGAGTAGCAGAATTGAAACTGGAA